GGTTCACATTTACCAAACAGTGTTGATTCTATATTTAATAACTTGATTTAATAATCAGGAATTTTGCCTGAAACTCTCAGACTGAAGAAGTCTCTTGGAAGAGAGACGAAACGTTTCATTAGAGAAGAACCCGTCCAGAAGACCTATACAATTTTTTTTCCTTTTGATTTTTTACCTGGATTACTGAGATGCATCAGGACACTTTGGAAGCTTGTTAAACACACATTGCAACAAATCAGGTGTTTCAAAGCAGGGAAACATTTAAAACATGTAGGATAGTGTTCCTCGAGGACCAGGGTTAAGAAACACTGCTCCAGACTATCTGGATATATTACAACCGGAGACAGGACTGGAAGTCAGAAGTTGAAGGCACAAACTGTAAGCGCCCCCTAGTGGCTGACTGTAGTACAATTATTATGCTCTGCCTCCATGTTGAGTTTAGATTTAGAGCCTGAGCAGTCAGGCCAGAATTATATGTTCAACTAGAATAGTTCCTGGAGAAACTATGAGAGGATTTCCCGCTGTGCAAAACTCGTCCTATGTTGCTTTAAGGGTTTGCTGTTTAAAACTTGTTTTAACGGCCTTCTTAAGGAAGTCTTTGCAATTGAGTCAACTGCTTTAATAAATTGTATCTTTAAAGGTCAAGAAATGACTGATTTAGAAGTCATTTTGTGTGTTTTCTTGCTAAATTTGTGCTTTGGTTCATGAAATATTTTGCTAACAGACATTTTTCTATGCTATTTTTGTCATTTGTAAGACTTGAATACTCTAATAAAGTGGATCAGTTGTTCTAAAGATCTTTGGCACTTTGTTTCACACTTTGTATTCATTCAGCATGTGTAAAATGTGCTGATGTCCAGCACTTATATGGTAATCCAGGGTTGCTTGGACAGCCATCTTGTATCTGAGTTGGACAAAAGTGTTGGACAGTGACAGAGGACTGTCCAATGGAGAGTTTCATAAAGTTAAAATCAGTGGTTCATGAGATACTTTAAAAAGCATTCAGGTTTAGAAGGCTTTGAGTCCTACTCCATTCATTTCCAATGGATTTTGTAGGGTGTCTTTGTCTGCCTACTGCGTCGCCATGGTAACAATGAATGTAAAGTTGAGTAAGAACACAATTCCTCTGACCGAGCCGGTCGTTTTGACGTATAAGTTGTGTGGGTGCATTCATGTTGAAATTATGTCCTTTCATTTGCATTGGGAAAAAGTGGCCGAAGTTCCTTCGGCTGCCATCTTGTTTTTGAAGTTTCCGCTAAGGCATGTGACAGAGGTTACTCTCAGCTACCAGTAAACCAAGTTTCAGCTCAATATATCAAACAGAAGCAGAGGGGAATCCCTTTGAAAATAGCTATGGTGGCCATCTTGGATTTTTATTTTGGCTAATTTTTGTGGTAGAGGTTGCTGTCAGTTTAATTTAATTAAACTTATCTAATGTCATGTGTGAGCTTTAATTCACTAAGATCCAGCTTTATATGGCTTGAAATGGCTGAATGAGAGCCTTRTTGCTAAGTTAGCATTAGCAGTTAGCTCTAGGTTTTGGACACCATTCATATTGTGTGGAGATAGCGCTCAGCTATCAGCCCACCAACTTTCAGCTTCATATGAGTAAAGACTGCTGATTAATGAAGCTGCTATGTTCATTTACACAAAGGAAACTCCTCAGCCAATCAGAAAGCTCAGTTATGGTCACACAGTTCCCGCCTCCTGTCAATCAAAAGCCTCAACCAATCAGGAGGCTGGATTCCCAGCTGCCGTTAATCTGCACACAAGGGCAGAGTGAAATCTGCAGTACCTCTGTCTGACAACCCAGAATTGATGGGTCCAAACAAAAACCTGCTCTGTAAAAACTTTAAGGTCTATTGAAAAAATTTTTTTGGATGGTAAGCATCATAAGGCTTTGGTCTTTCCTGGAAAAAAATTTCAAGCGTGTTCATGACTTGATGGCTGAGATATGGTGAATTAAAAATGTAGTAAATGTCTGATTTCTGACTTTGGTTTTGACCGTTTTTTGAATGGAACAAATAGGAGAAGGAAATTGGTTTTGCTGGCTTCTGAAGCACGCAGAGAGAAAACTGTTTATCTTAGGGCCAAACCAGGCACATTTTCTGAAAGTAGACAAAAGTTCCCACGTTTTGATGTATAATTTGTCTTTGTAACATGAAAATTGTGGCTGTAGTAGGAATTTGTTTGCAAAAATATTTTTTGTAAAGCCAAACCTTCTCACTCTAAGGTCACATGACCTAGAGTGAGGAGCTTCCCATGTAATCCAATGGGGATTTTTAGATCAGTTTTTTGCAGATTACGCCGCCATGGTAACATCAAACGTAAAGATAAATAATAGCACACCTCGTGAGATCGACGCCGACGCAGTAATGTATTTTTCATGGGGCACGGTTCGGGCCGCATTAACGGTGAAAGTTCTGGGATGAATAATAAAGAGACCAGTTTAGAAGTGGATAATAATAGGTTGCCATTGTTCATGGCAATCCTAATGAGGAAGTGACATCAAAGGAGAACTCTAAGAAAGAAAACTCTGTGGTATTTGTTTATTGAAACAATATTATTTTAACTTTGACTCTTCCTCACCTCTCTGATAGTGACTCAAACTGATCCAAAGAAACATCAGACTTTCCTTCTTCTACAGTCGGTTAGCTGTTGTAGCAAGGCCCTGTTTACATGCCAACATTCCCCTTTGACATCACTTCCTGTTACTCCACATGCAAATATCTCAACTACTGTTCATCTCAGCGGCATGAATTTTCTTTTGCAATATATTATCAATATTATCTTTTCAAAAATGCATTCATATTTATTACAAAAATTTGATGTCAGAGGCACTTTAATGTTAATACTTTTACTTGAGCTGCTCCTAGAATGCAAAATCTTATACTTCATAATATGCCAATCATTGAGTTTTAATCATTGCTATAGGACCATTATAAATTAAAAATGTAAAAACAAAATAAAAAGTTACAGGATCCAAATCTAAATCATGTAGATGTAAAATCTCTATCTTCATTTTTAAAGGAAGTTGACTACAGCAGATGTTTGTGAACACTTTAAAGGTGCTCCTTCATGTCTTGGTGCTTGATTTTTATGTGAAGAGTACCCACTGGTCTCTTCATTTCACTCTCCAATAAGAATCACCCATGAGTAAAATTAAGACACCTCTGAATGAACAAATATGTCTCAAACAGTTCTTTTATGAATAATGAAGACAATATCGAAAACTTTTATTTTAAATACACAGACAATTTACAATCCTTTAGCCTGCGTCAGGCACTTCAGAGAGGAGGAGAGATGCAAAACGACAGGAAATACCCATTTACTTATATTTCTTAATATTATAATAATTACCTCATGTAGCTTATTTGCTATAGTAAATGCTTACAGATTGTGGTTTCAGTCTTACAATGTCTGGGTGAAAAAAAAGGATATTTCCAATAATAAAAAGATTCAATTAGATCTTTATGATAAAACAAAAGAAAAATCAACCATTGTTATAAAAAAACTAACTTTTTGTCATAAAGTGTCGTCTCTAATGATACGCTCACCATTTAAAGTGAAAATATAGTATTTTTCCTTAAACAGTCTTTGTTTTAAAGATGCAACTGACATTTTTTTCATTTGAGTAAACAGGAAGCTGAGACATCTTCACTTCATCTGAAGTGACGATAAATAAATTAATTGTAATAAACAAAGATCCCCCAGCGGATGACGTCCCTCCTGACCTGAAGACAGCTGCCGACAGTGTGGTAAGACCCGATTCCTTCCTGAGTTTTCAGCTTTTCCCAGAAAAGTCAGATTCACTGCTGCTTCTTTTCCAGCCTTTCCCCTGGGTCAGAGCTGGTTGTGCGTCTTGGCGTGTGTTTTTGGAGTGCGGAGAGTTTAAAGGTCATTCTTCCCCCTAGTCCTCTGACAGTCCATATTTGCTTTCCAACACATCAAGCGTAGAAGAAAGGGCACTGAAAACAGAATTAGGGTCATTTCTCATGCATTAAAGCAAGTCCACTTCAAAGCAGGCGTAGGTGGAGGGGGTTGGAGGAAGAAATGGGGTTAAGATTTATGATACGTCTATAGTTAACAAGAGTTCGGTTTTATCAGACTAACTGACATCAGTGTTTTATCTTGGAACCCAGAGAAGTTAAAACAGTGCTGTTTTTCTTACAAGTGCGAACCAAATGACATGAGAGATGATGAAAACAACCTTCTAACAAGAAATCTAGCAGCTCCTTCTCTGAGCTGCTGGCTGAGCTGTGATGTCACGCTTTTTCTACCACGGAAACACATTTTCTCTTCTGCTCAGTCAGCGGCAAAGAGGAGTCAGAAGCAGCAGCTGTAAATAAGCCGTTAGCACACGCTCAGTGCTGCTCTTCGTGCTTACTTATTCTGACAGAGGCTGTGTACTGTGCAAAAGAAAAAATATATATACTCATGCTGTTTTTATTATGTAAAAGAAGGCTGAACTTACAGCCCCACCAGCAAATTTAACCTAGGTGATCTGATCAGACTGATATCAGTCAATATGTTTTAACAGAAAATAAATTACACAGGACAGCCTAAACTTATTTTTCCAGTATGACAACATGTCAAAATCAGAGACAGGCAAACAAACTGAAAYCATTATATAAAAATAGGTGGAGATGTCTGCTATTTTTATATGATGTTTCTAGAATAATGTGTRATGTGGGAAAATACACGTGTTAATGTTTGTTTTTTTTCACACTCATGACACAAGCTACATTTACATGGACATAAGTAATTGGATTAAACGGCCATTCTGAATAAAAACGTGTCATGTAAACACCCCATTTATTCGGACCCGATTCAGCTCGATCCGAATGAATTTGTAATCGAAATGAGAGAGGTGGTTTATGCCGATTGATAATC